ACGAGGCACCGGATTTTCATCGTTCCGGATTAGGGGCGGGTGCGAATTTGGAATGGAATGGAGGGGTACTTTTGTCATTTCGCTATCCTTAAGAGTTGTGGCCTTGAGTCGTTGCATTTTCTCCTTTTGAAAATTATGGGGCCAGCGTGGATAATTTTGATGGGATTTTTTCAAATAAAGAAAACCTAAATTAATCAACTTTTAAATATAAATATAAAGCTAAATTACATTTTTATGCTACATACTTGAAGTTAAATTACATTTTCGTCCTGCCGATGAAACTATTTCTTGGTTCGACGCCAGCTTCTTAAGTTTGTAAATTATTTATACTCATAGAAAATGAATTTCACAATGTGAAAAAAAAAAAAGAATTTCACGATGTTGATGTGACATTTTGGATTTTTTGTTATCTTATTTTACTTTTTATTTATTATTATTATAATTATTTTTTACTTTTGAAGTGATGAGAGCTCGAACCTGTATCTTGGGTGTCAACACCCGAGGGTGCTACCTTATCTTACTTATGAATTATGACTAATGGTTGAAATGTTAAGTATAAGTAAACAAAGAATAGAAATATAATCAAACGTTTAAGAGTATTAAAATTAAATCGGAACAAGTGGCTTATTTGATAAACGGTTTTGTTTTTAATTTCATGTTTTTAAACTTATGCTTGCTCAATTGTAATTTCTTCTATTTTTATTATAATTAAATACATTTGAGTTTTTGGTGAAAATAAGTTTTTAAAAACTAATTTTTCTTTTTTTATTTATATTATATTTTGGAAAAAGTAGATAACAAAATAAACCAACACATTAATAGAATTGATATTCATCAGATTAATTTTAAAAAATATAAAACAAAAAACGAAATGATTATCAAATAGGATATTGTTTGTTTCTAAACTAAAACTAAAATTAAGGTTATTAAAAAAAAATCAAATTAAGGGCAACGTTAAACTATAATTTTGGTCTCTAAAATTTAGAGTTAGTATTTATTTGATCTCTGAAGTTTCAAAAGAAACAATCTAGTATGTGAAGTTTAGAAAACCGTTCTAAATTATTCCTAAACTCATTTACCCTTAGTTGATCTAATGGAATGTTGATTGGACTGTTAAATAATGACATTGACTTGCCAACTTATCAATTTTTAAGATTACGTGATATATGAGAGAAATATTAGAAGGATAAAATTTAGGTACTTGGTGGCAAGTAGATAACTCCTACTTACCCCATAAAAATTAATAATTAAGAGATATAAATGTATAAACTATAAAATAGAATAAAATAAATATTTATCAATTTTTTAATTGTGGTAAATAAGAAGATGGCCACTTATCCTCAAAGTTAGAAAAACAATTAGATTCTGATTAGCGAAACTGTATTTATGCTGTATTTATGCTGACCACCACTAAAATTTTGACAGTATTTTAGAAAAAAACATTATTTTTACATCTCTTAATTGTCAAAACAGGGTGGGCAGAAGAGGCAAAACTCACCGTAGCCCTATTGTATAGCTGATTTTGCTTAGATAGCAAAACAAAATCCTTTAAATATTCTAAAAATTAAAAACTTCACGCTTTCTATTCATCAAACTCTCTTCAATTCAAAACAAATTTCCACCACAAACAAGCCTGATTTTTCTTCTTTGAATACAACAACATGTAAAGATGGAGATTCAAAACTCACGATTTTTCTATCGGAGATATGTGCCTTAACCGTTGAGCTAAGCTTAAAATGACATGTATGATTCTATTTTGAAACTTACTTCTTAGATATAGTGCGACAATGACATTTAAGACACAAAAAGTATATAGATTCCTCATGAAAAGAGCATAGTAGATATCTGTAAGTATATAGATTCCTCATGAAAAGAGCATAGTAGATATCTGTTGGTGGTCAAAAATCAAATCAGCACATGTAGACATATTCTCAGCTCAAGACATCACAAATTGACGTCAGAATCCAACACTCGATACCGAGCTGAGGCGAGGAAGATGATCCAAACCGACTTGAGAAGTCTGACCTCAGGCTTGATCGCCGACCTGGGGGCCCGACAGGCATAACCGCATGTCGTAACCAACTAACTGCCCTATCTCCCCCAGCCTACCTATAAAAGGGACATTCCACCAACGAGTCAGGTATGCAATTCTCTCTGAGAATGACCTAAATCTTTTGAGTTCGTATTGATTTCGGCGTCGGAGTGTTTATTCCTTTATGCAGGTTCACTTGCGAGTACCTCGGAGCATCATCCACGTCAGCTCGTCACCGACGTGCGAGTTCGGTTAAAAAAACAGCATCAACAATATCAGTGGAAATGATGGTATTTTTTCAAAAAGTTTGAGTGTCTTTTCTAAAATTTGAAAGACAAAAATATATTTTATTTTTTTACCCAAAATATTTTCAAGAGAAATTAACAGAACAAAGAAACACATCCATGAAAGTAAAGTTTATAAGATTAATTTTCGAAACTAGAATGAAAAATAAAATAGTGATTAAATAGGGCCTAGGTTGTTTTTTCTTTTATAAGTAGATGAAAATGAAAATTAAAGTAGGGGATGTTGGAATGTAAATTTAACCTTTGAAAAAGAAATGTAAGTTTAACATAAAAAGAACAACCTTTTTAACTCCCCCAAATTCAAAAGACAATAGTTGATTTTTTTTTTTTTTTTGACAAGACAATAGTTGAATTATTGTTCCTTTAATTTAGAGAAAAAGAACAACCTTTTTAACTTTCTAAATTTTGAATATGGATTGAGCACTTATAATATTTGATCAATTTTTTAAAACACTATATATATTTACTGTTATTATTTTTGAGTTAGGATATAATTTTAACTAAACACTTCATTATTAACTTAAAAATGATTAAAGTAATTAAAAGATTTATGGTACTTTTATTAAAAAATAATAATAATAATAACTATGATCAAGAATTACTAATGTATTTTAAATTTATTTTCATGAAAAAATAATGATTTGATTGTTAAAAGGAAAACAAAGATAAAATTTTATTTTCAATTTTGGTAATGTGAATTAATTTTCATCATAAATATTTGATTTCATCGAGGTCCGAAGGTAGATAATTTTTATTACAATTTTTAAGTTAATTCACTTACTAATTTTAACAAATTTATTAATTTAATAAAAATTAAGCTTGGTACAAAATTATGTTTAATCAATGCACAAAAAATCAATCATGAGGTAATATTTCTTTAACGATTCTTCAAATAAAAACCAATTAAAGAGTTACCTTAGATTATTGCAACTTAGGTTTAAAATTAACTTTTTCAATTTGAGGTATTTAAGATTTTAAAATTAGAACTAATAGGATTCGCCACGTTTATTTTTATCCCTCATTAAACATATAAGTGGGCTGAACTTTAATACGTTTCATAGAAGCTAACCTAAGTCATGGCATTTATAAATTTATAAAATGAAGTTGACTTTAGCTGGCTAGTAGCTACAAGTTTGGCATTTTTCTATAACCAAAGTCATAATATGGAAGTGATTTCTAACTTTAAATTTTATGTTTAAAAAATTAAACACATTTTCTTTCTAAAATAATAATAATAATAATATTATTATTATATTAATCGTCGTATACAAATCACTAACCCTTACAACCTAAACAAAAAGGAGAAAAAGAATCCTCATATTTTAGTTCTTGAATTTTCAGCCTTGGGTTATCATAGTCTATGTTTCAAAATCGTGCACTTTTGGTCTTTGAATTTTTGAAATAAGTTTAAATGCTAATCCTACTCAATCTTATTCTTATTCTTCCTCTTTTAGTGACCCATAGATAAAGATTTAGGGTTTGATCTTGTTCTAAATCAAATGAATTCAATGAATACTGTTTGACAGAATTATTTTCGAAAACCGTTTTTGAATTCTATAATATAAATAGTGGAAATTCTGAAAACAACCTTAGGTTTTTTAATGTTTTCATATTTTGAATCTAAAACTGTAAAATGCAGAATTATACCTAAAAATATAAAAACTTTGATAAATACACTATTTCAGGTTATAAAATCTTTTTTTTTTTTAAATTAAAACAGGTAAAATATATATTATAAATTATATAATATTGTAAAATACTAATTCTAACATAATTTATAACATCTATGTTAATAAATTAATTAATAATATTTTAGATTAAACTAAATATTTAGTTGGTAACCAATCACATAGATATATTACAAAACATGTGAATTTGTTTTCTAAAGTCGTGGAATTCAATTTTCAAATATGCTACTAAACAACTAAATCTTGCTTTCGATTTATGTTTTTAAGATCTAATCAAGGGAAGGAATAATTTTCTCAAGAACATATATATGATATTCCATTTTCAAATATAAAAATATTCTAAATACAACCGACCATTCACCTTCAGAATAACTTCACCTAAAAAAGGAGAAACACGGCCGATATGGTGAAGGCCAATAATTAGCCAATCAAGTACATTATTATCAAAAAGGTTACGAGCCAAAAAATATAAAAATTGATATGAAAAAAGAGCATATATTATAATCATCAAACATGTTATTATAAAGTTAAAAAAAAAATAATTTTGGTTCCAGTAATTTCAATAAAGTAACGATTTAGCCACTAAACTTTAATCTGTAACGATTTTGTTCTTACCTTCTTAAATTGATAATAATTTAGTTTATGGATTTTAGTATGTATTATTTAATATTTGTAGTTTAAAATTTGTAACGATTTAGTCCGTATCGTATCTTTTTGTTCGTGGTTAAGTTTCTTATATATGTAGATTGATAAATCGATGAGAGACAACTATGTTTATACTACGAAGGCTAAATCGTTATATGACAAAAATCGACATATAATTTTGATGAATTTTTCATGGCGGAGACTACACTTTTACAAATTTTTAACTATAAGAGGCTAAATTATTACATATTAAAGTTCATGAACTAAACTGTTACCGATTAGAAAGTACACAAACTAAATTATTACAAATTAAAGTTCATTGACTAAATGGCTAGTCCAACGAAACTAATCAAAAAAAAAATACATGGATCAAAATGTATTTTTTAAAATAAAAAATAAAAATAAATTGGTTAAATTATAAATACACTCAATAACAAGTTTGAGTTTACTTTAATGGGTCTCATTTGATTTAAAAAGTTTTAATTTTAATCTCTACAATTTGAGCTTAATTTCAAAATTTTCAGTTTATACTATGGTTATAAAAATTTCAATTTACTCCGTATGATTTAGTTAACTTTCACAAATCATCAATAAAATCATTTCTTACCTACTAAAAAATATACTTATTTTCCTCCCAACAGGTGATACAAACAATCAATTTAGAAATACAAGTTTATTACCACATAAATAAAAAACATGTTAAAAACCATAAAATTGAATAGAAATTTAACACGAATCATAACTCAAAAGGACCAAAGACTATAGGAAATAAATAAAAAATAATTAGCTAAATTACAAGTCTAATTAAATAAAAAACCATGATGTCTTAATTTTATGTAAAATTCAAGAAACTAATATAAAGTTTAAAAAAGTTGAGGAATAAATATATAATTTAAGGAATTAGCTAAAATAGAATAAAGACTGAAAATAAAAACAACCCATCATTGTCTTTAGTTTTGGTGGGTTCTGTGAGGTAATGATCAATTTATCACATTATGAGGCACCTGTAAATTTTGCGGGAACCTTCTTCACTCCTTCCTCTCCTCCTTTTTCTCTCACTAATTTTTTTAGAGAGAGAGAATGATTGAGGAAATCGCATTGTACGTTTTACTACTCCCACCTTCAATGGCGGGGACCCGCTTTTGTCTCTTACCTTCATCACTCCCCATTTATACTTTATCCTTATTTTAATTTCCATTTCAGAAGTTTTTCTCCATTTTGTTCTTCACTTCTTTGTGTTCCCCGTTTTTATGTTTCTGGGTTTCTTATTGATTTGCCGGAAATGGGAGATTTCGCCGATTCTGAGCGGTAATCGTTGCCGGGTTTGTTTTCTCTGTTTCTGGTTTAAATTTTGATGAAACTGAGAAACTGTATTGATTTTGAGTTGAAATCGGAGTGGGTTTGGGACATTTTTGCGAGTTCTCTCTGTTTCTTCTCTCTCTCTGTGTTCTTCGTCGTTTTTCTGCTACTGGTTTCTGATTCATGAACCGAGAAACTCCATCGATTCTGAATTGAAATCGGTTTGGGTTTCGGAATTTTAGCAAGTTTTTTCTCTCTATTCTTATTCGTCTTCCTCACTTTTCTGTAACTGGGCTTCTGATTTTGAGTCGAAATCGTCATGGGTTTTGAGTATTAATTGGAGCAAGTTTTTCCCATTTCTCTCTCTGATCTTCATTTTTCTCACTTTTCTATAACTGGGTTCTGATTCTTTTTCTGAAACTGGGAAACTCGATGAATTTTGAGTTGAAATCTTCGTGGGTTTGATTCTCAATTCCAGAAAGTTCTCACCATTTCCCTCTCTGTTCTTCCATTAATCTGCCGAAACTGGAAAGTTTTGCCCATTTTCCGCTCTAATCTTCTTCATCTTCCTCACTTTTCCGCAACTCGGTTCGAATTAAATCATCCAAACCCAAGCAATTTCGTTGATTTGTTTCCTCCGATCAATGGCGGGAATGTTGCCGGGAGTCGAATGCGCGAGAAGGCGGCGGTTCCACCAGAGCATAACCTCGTCGGACTCGCCGTCCACGGCGGCGAAACTGGGATCCACCAGAAGGCCCTCCTTCTGTTTGTACACCAGCAACCGCGATTTCCACCTCACTTCATCTTCTACACAGGTAAAGAAAAAAAATCTACATACAATTAAATTCCATCCACATCCTTGTTCCAATTATCTGTTTGTTTCCTGAGAAAAATCTGGTGAATGATTTTCAAATTTAAACAAAAATTAAGCAACGGAGCTGGTCGAATCAAGCTTTCCAGAACGATAAACTGGGTGAAATTGCGAGAGAAGCCAAAGAGAGGTTGGATGAGAGGTTGAAGACACGCAGAAGACCAGAGACTGAAACTGTAAGGTAATTTCTCCTCGGTGAGCTATTTTTCTCTCTCTCTCTTTTTTGTTTCATTGAGAATTTTATCGATTATCATTAAAAATTAAAAGCGTCTCGCGGATAATAAATAATCTCTATGCTTATGCTTAATATCATAAATAATAGTTACATGTATAAAAAGATTTAAGTACCATTAATTTTTTAAAATAATCATCCAAGTGTTAATTGAATGATTAATGAGAATGTGAGTAATTTTTACGGTTTTGGTCTATGTCAAAATCACTCTCAAAGACACCCTGAGTAAAATTGCACAATTATTTCACAAAATTTTGTAAGGTTTGTCTTTTATTTGGGTATTTAGTCAACTATATTAATATGTTAGGTTGAGTAAAAATTAAAAGGACTATAAGACTAAACTTGTAATTTACTTCAAATATTTTAGGTTAAGCTATTAGTTTAGTCTCTAAATTTTCAAGATTGTTTTTAATGCGTCCTTGAATTTAAAAAAAAAAAATCTAATAAGTTGGTAGATCTTCAACTTTGTGTCAAATACTTATTAGACATAAAACTAAAAGAATGATATTAAGGTATCAATAAGTAGGTATTTCCTGATACTAGAAGAGTACAAATACTTTTTTCGTTTATTGTCAACCATGTTAGTATTGTATTAAAAATAATGTAAGGTCCGGTAACAAATAAAATCATAGTGTGAATAGAGAGAATATAGCACCTCATAGTACTATCTGTTAAAGCACCTAAGCTTAGGTCTGGATTTGATGGAATTTTGAAAGTTTTATAACTTGATATGGTACAATTATAGGAAGAGTAGGAGTAAGAGGGAAGAAGAAGTAAGGTCAAAAGGGTCAGAAAAGGAAGGGGAAATGACAAAAGGCAAAGAAGAAGAGAGAAAGAAGAAGTTGATGAGTTGGGGAAAGTGGAAGGCGTGGGAGCAAAAGGAGTGCGCCGTTTGCCTAGAAGGGTTCAGGGGTGGCGAGCCGGTGGTCCATCTGCCATGCGCCCACAAGTTCCATTCCTCCTGCCTCGTCCCTTGGCTCCAAACCAACTCCCATTGCCCTTCTTGCAGATTCCCCATTTCCGCTCCTTAATATTTATTTCACTCTTTTTTTTCCCTTCTTTAGTTTTAGTTTTAGTAATCTCTTTGTTTTATTTCGGTCTTTTTTTGTATCTAAACTTTTGAGTATTTTACCACGGTCGAATTTTAATACTTCTTCTTGATTGGTTACGTAAGTATTTTCTATTGACTATCTTTGTGTTCTTTACAAATATATATATATATATATATATATATTAAAAATTGTTGTCAAATTTTTAGTGGTGGTTTTTCTTACTATGAACACCAATTAGAAGGTAAACTATATTTTGATTTCTCAACTATTGTTTATTGTTTTGTTTTATTGGAAAACYATTTCAATTATCGTTCTTAATTTTTCATCAATCATTTTGGATCCGTTTGATAACCATTTTAATTTTAGTTTTATGTTTTTAAAAAAATTATGCTAGTTTACTCCTACTTTCTTTATTATGTTTTAATTTATAAACAACGTGTGAACTCTTAGTCAAATTTTAAAAATAAATACACAGGTGAAAGTAGTGTTTGCAAGCTTAAATTTAAAAACACGAAATCAAAACAAAATGATTATCAAATTAGACCTAACAATGATTTAAATTTTTATTTGGAAATCTAAATTTTAACGTACCTAAACATCTAGTGATCTGGTAAGATTAACTAAATAGATTGTCTTTCTTTCCAATATTTTGAAATATTGATGATGAGTCTTTATGCAAACAATTATTGAAATTTAAATGACAAAGAATAAAATTTTATAGACTCAAATAAGATTAAAACTTTTTTCTTTGGGGTAAATTTAAATCTAAACTATGTGGAATAGTTCCAAATAGTAACTCGACAATAACATTATTAACATATGGTATGATTAAGAAATATGTCTTCTTTTTTTTTCTTGAGACAACAAGAAATGTGTCTTGTGCTAGCGTACTATAGTTTAACTAGTTAGAATACTCGGGGAAACATATAAAAAATAAATGCTTATGTGAATCAAATCCGATCTCAAAGTTTAAAAGATATAAAATTTTAGAAACTGATGATTCAAACTAAATGGAACCGGATCAGTTTGGGCTGATTCAGTTGATCAGCTTTACAGCGATTTAATTCATTATATAATCCAAAATAGAACATGTAGATCATTAAGGAACATTATTAGACCACTTTAATAATTTATTGGATTAGAATAAACAAAAACTCATCATTTACATCTCAATGCTCTTTTTATTCATTACCATTTTGACACTGATTTATTCATTATTGATGTTACACTCCAGTACATGAAATTTAAATGAGATTACATGATTTTTATAACCTAGTTGAACAAATGGTGAAAAAACTGAATTACGTTTATCATTATTTGCTTTTTTTTTCTCCTTCGCTTTCGGAGTTTGTTTATTGTTTCTCATTTTCAATTTATTGTTTCGAGTTTTCCAATTTTGAGAAATAAAAAAAATCCGTATTTGATAATTAGTTCAATTGGTTAAAACACTCCTTTTTCAATAAAAAGACCACCAAAGAATCGAACCAAACTGAACTATATGGTTTGATTATCTGAAAAGAAAAGGATTCATCAATTTGTAAAATGATAGAAATCAAATAATGTTGATTTGGTTTGGGACATTGGGTAAAAGACACTAGGGTGATAAAAAAAGCATTACCACTCTAGCTCAAAAAGAATATGTATTTATATTTATAGTATTAGGTTTAAAATTTTTAAAAATGATATAAATTGCAAATTTGTACAATCACATACCAAGGAAAAGTCATTTTTTGAAACAATTGGAAGTAATGAGATTTGTATAAATACATATTTATTTTATGTCATTTAGTATAATTTTTTCTTAAAAAAACAAAATAAAGTGACAAATCAGAATTAATGATACAGTATTTGGTCGGTCCAATTTTATTTTCCTAAAAAATAATTTAAAAGGTGAAAATAATAAAATTAATAAAAAAATATTTGTGTCTTTAATAAAAAAGAAGGGAAAAATATTTTAACAAATAATAGGGATTTGAAAATTTGAAACTGTTTTAATTTTATAAAAATTTTGAATTTTAAAACTGAATTTCAACTCATCTAATATCTTCTCTCAGTTTTTTCCACTCTCTCTCCTCTTTAACCACTCCTCCTTATCCCCTCAAACCGATGTTATTTCAAGTAAGGCCCAATAAAAAAAGTTTTATTCAGCAGCCCAACATTTCTAAATATCTCTTACCCAGACCCCCACCGGGCCATGCTTATCGATTACCCTAATCCAGAACCCGACCCGACCCATAACTCAGACCAATAACTTCGAAATTGTTCAATAAACCCTGTCCCTCCCTCTTCTTCTTCGGAGGATTTAGTATTCGGTTTGCGAACCATAGCTGCTCGAGAGAAGCTTTCTCTGTAACTGAGGTAAGTTTCACTGATGCTCTATCTTTTTTCGACTCCGAACACGCGTAGTTTCAAAGGCTGAGTGTCAATACTTTCAATTTCTTCTGACGTGTGGTAATCGTACTTGTATTTGCTTGAACCCCGGTTTGTTTGCTCTTGTTACTTCTTTCTTTTTTGAGCTACTGGAGCTATAACGAACTGAGAATATTTTGAATAATGGGGAAATATGAGACCCCATTTCACTTTGTCTTTCAGTTTTGAAAGGAGAAATTAAATCCTGTTCAAATTGCATAGGTTTAGTTGCAATCATACGCAATTATGATATTCGTTCTTGATGATGGTAGAGTGTCGGTTTGAATTTTGGCTTCATTCGGAGGTCTAGAAAGTTTTATGGGTGTTTCGATTGGAAAATAGTGTCGTAACAAGTGCAGCTTATATTTCAAACTGCATCTGCTTATTTATTGACAAAACATAACCATTTTTACTTTATAGCTGATTTGGGGGGGGAATAAAATGAGTGCGAGAAAGAAAGAAAGAGTGCCTAGTTGGACAATCATCTATTTGCTTTTAGTTTTCCTAACTTTTATGTTGCTTGAGCTTGATACAATTAAGAACTTTGGGATGAGCACTTAGGAAGTTGTATTGTGATTTAGTGACGTGAAGGAACTTGACAAAAGTAGAATTGGGTGAGCTTAATTATTATTATTGTAGGTTCTGGAATATAGACAGAGTGGGGAGGGGAATTATGAGAGATCATGGACCTTACACCCGCTCGAACATTTTTCAGTGTAGTCACTATTTTATGACCTAATGGATGTTGAGAGGGTCTTAGAACGGGAGTTCTTTTAGGAGGTTGGAAACGTGGACAACATGGGTTTGTGTATAGTGTATTCAACACATATGAAAGGCTACAACATAGGCATCTCTTGATGATTTTGTGCCCCTCCTAGGTCCTTCCTTTGCTTTGAATAAAGTCAAGCAATGAGATCTTATCTTCAACTTTTCATTTTGTTAGAAGTGTTGTTCCTTGTTACAGATTTTAGTCTCTCTTGGGCTTTCCATCAATCTTTAGAAGAGAATCTTCTCCAATTGCTTTATCTTATCTCCTAAAGGGTAAATCAAATCATCTATAGCTCAGTACTTTGTGCTTACCTCTTAAAGAACAAGGCCAAGAATCTCTGAGTCACTGTAGCAATCCTTAATTTGGAGTCTTCGTTAATGTTCAATGATCAATTAAATGGACCGGTAGAAGTTTTTTACCCAGCCCAGATTCTTTCTTCTTGTTCCTATTGGGTTTCTAGAAATGGGTTGTGCTCTAGGAAACACGGACACTTATTTTTGGGCGAAGTATCTGTGTAGGACACGTGTCCGACATGGATGCGCCCGGACACGTGTCAGACACGCATTTTGGCGTGTCTGATTTTTTTTTCTTTTCAAATCGGACACAACTGAGACACAGCCTAGGAAGTTTTCTGGGCCCAAATAAAAAGGCCTAAGGCCCATGAGTAATTTAAAAAAAAACAAATAAATGATAAAAGCCTAATAC